CAGGATCTTTCTAGATATAGTGTAGTCTTGTATGTATAAGACGGTCACAAAGTGAGGCCCACAATATATGTAATTGAACTGAGTATTGTTGAGTCGAGCACGTGAGACGTTCATTGAAAATTATAGCATTTGTTATAGCGCGACTGTTGAAATTAAATGTATTGCAAAGTTATATTCAGAAAGGATAAAACAGTTTTATTTAAGAAAGGACTTCTATTGGTAAAGTTTCTTCAGAAAGAATTTTTACGGAAAATTAACTAATGAACGGAGACGTAACAATTTGTTAAATAACATTTGCCTTAAGCATCACCATCAAATAGTAAAGATAACTAAACATTAGGAGCTAGATACTTTGGCTAGTATTTATATATATATTATTTATATATTTTTTTTCATTATTACATTGGGTTCTCTGAAGATTAATGGTATAAGTACATAATACAAAAGAATAATAAAATTGTGGTACTGGCAGGTTTTAAGTGAAGTTGAAATTGTAAAGATACTTATGGAAAAAGTATATTCATTGTTATATAGATGATGAGAAGTAAATATATGATGATGGAAATGTGATAAAAAAAAGGGTCGTAATCACATGCTTGAGAAGTTTAAAATGAAATACTTCTCTGCATTGGATCTACAATCTGAAAGCGAGATTCGCTCTGCAATCAGTACATTCATTGCAAAAGAAAAACAAGCAGAAAACAAATGGCCAACTTTCAACTCATATACATTTTCCAGATGTGCTTTCACTTCTATTAATTTTAATGGGAGTTTTGGTAGTTGCATAAACAGTCAATAAGTTAGAGTATTACTTTTCTGTTACCCTACTCCTACCTTTGTACAAGTTATATACAGACTGACTTGTTTAAGAAAGTGATGTCAACTAATAACAAAAAATCTAGTATTTAAGGCTGGCTTTATTGGTTAAATTCATAAACTTTATGGTGCAATTTTGGGTGTTGATGATTAACCTTAATCGATCAATTAGCCTCTTGTTTTTTTTTACCATTCTTACATTCCTTGTATAAAATTAAGTTACTATAAAACAAAGCTTGAACACACTTACCAATATTGGTAGACCCTGCATCCACACTATTTTCAACAAGCTCTTTCACAGCAGTTGCCAAATTAAGAATTACCTGCCCAGAGCATATTTTATGTACAGTAACACCATTCACACGCCGAATATTAGTCAGACATGATGGTTCTTCTGCCATTGCAGAAGATCTTTTCCAAATTGATCACAACAGTTTTATATACCTAAGAGAATAAACTGCAGATTTCAGCTTATATGCCCAAAACATATTTAATCCAATCAAATATAAAGCATAAAATTACAAATCTAAGACATATGCCTAATACTGATCCTATAGTTTTTATTTTTTGCAATTATGTAATAGGAAAACAATTTCACAAACAATGCAATGATACCTGTGTTTGTAGCCTTACTATAATGCATACCTAGCATTTACACAAGCTGCATGCCCATTGAATGCTAATTATGAATTCCAGGGTTTATGTGGCTCTAATTCAACAAAAAATATGCACAAAAAAAAGTACTACAGTTGCCAACATACAAAGTTTCTTATAAATGAACTCAAGAAAAATAAATATACCAGACCCATAAGTCAAGGTTAACAAATAATTCAACATGCACAGAACGTAACAGAGATTGAATTTATTTTTAAAATAGATAAATTCAGAACAAGAATAAAAAACTGGACTGAAGTTAAATAAATTGGGATTCAAATTTAAAAAATATATTACTGACATGTTGCCCACTCCAACACAAACAAAAGGAATGAACTAAACAGCATTATAATATATTTCAGTCACTTTATAAATACCAAAAAAGCATAATGATCCATTAGTCACTTTCTAATTAACCACAAAAGCATCATAATCCATTATAGTCACTTTCTAATTACCAATGAAATCATAATAGCCCATTAGTAACTTTTTAATTATCAAAAACAGCATAATAATCCACTATAGTCACTTTCAAAATAATACTCCCATAAAATTTCTGTCATTTTTAGTAACTAAATGACCATTTCAACATGGGAGGACGAGAGGATCTGTAACTTGTAAGCCCTAGGGAAGTGTATTCTTATGGAAATTATCATTTTTCAATATATCCTTACTTATTATTTGTCCAAATTTTTCTAAAATGATATGATAATGTATGGACTACAAGGGACAACTTAAATTTTCAAAGCTTTCCCTGAACACCCATCCTCAAGAAAATCATAATCCCACCCTTTATTTCTCAGGAAATTGTCAATTTCCCTTTCAAACTCTTGTACAGTGCTGATTTCCAAGTGAGGCCTAACTAAGGATTTGTATAATGACATAATTACCTCTTTTTGACTTTCATTCAATATGTCTATAAAAGCAACCTCAAATTATATTAGTAACAGAGCATTGCCTTGACAGCTTGAGTTACTTATCCATCACTATACCAAAATTTTCTTCTGTCATGCTACTGGGTATATTCCCATCTATTTTACAATGAGTAATCCAAATTATCATAATCCAGATGCATATCTTACACTTATTATTATTACAGGCCATTTCCAAATATTTGTCCAGCTAACCAACTGATCTAAATCATTCTGTAGAAACACAGTGTGGTACCTCAACATTCTCAGTGTGCTAGAAATACCCAAAAGTTTAATATGTTCTGCAAGCTTTACTAATTCACTAATTATTCCCCTATTAATATCATTAATGTAAATACAAAAAAGCAAGGCCAAAAGCACTAAGGCACTACACACACACACTAGTAAAAAAGGTGCAGTTTGGCTTAACTAGTAATAACAACCTTTTACCTTCTCTCATTCAACCATCCTACAATCCAATTTGCTAGTCCTTAATCAAGATTACATAAAAACACAAATTTCACTCTCATCCTCAACTAAACAACCTTTGTATCTTTGACACCTAATCATCATGTTATAAATCAATAAAATAAAAACTAAACCCTCTGTACATTGATCATGATGCACTGAAATTTAATAATCAATTTAGCTCCTTTGAATTCGATATCGTATTTTCGTCTTAATATTATAAACTTTAATTTCCCTTCTAATTCTAAGTTCTAATCTCTACTTCTAGTCTACTTTCTCAGAGTCTGTCTTTACTAGTTGTTAAGAATTAAAATGTAACTTGTAAATTAACAAAGCTAATTCTCTATAACAAACTAACAGTAACAAAACCGATATAATTTCATAAATGAAATCACAAACAAGAAAATTAACAGTAAAACCTACATAAACCATTAAAATGTAAATGATAAATTGTTGGTCTGAAATAAATGCATTGTATTATCAGCTGGTATCCTCACTATTACTATTGGTATTATATTTTTGGCGTAGTCTCTTGCCTTTTCATCAGTTATATTTATAGTAAATTTATCTAAAACACTATAAATATTCGTAATAAAAAATGGAGACAGTATTCTACCGATGAAATTTTTACTACAACCTTACATAATTTGATACGTACATTACAATTTCATATGAAATTCCCGGTTACTTACTATTGAGCATATTACAAGTTCTGGTAAAACATTATGAGAAATATGAACCACAAAAACTATATCTGAGAAAGCACTGTGTTTTTCAATAAGGATAATAAAAAAAATGTCATAAGTATCAACATATAAAAGCTAATTAAACGAAAAAAAAATAATAAAACTTTATGTGTTAAAAGTTCACAGATTATTGTAATTAATATGGAAATAATTTTTATGACTGAAAACGAAACTTCACGTGCCAATAATTTATATATATATAGTTTTGCGCTTTCTTTTTTTCTTTTTCATTACTATTGCAGTATTCTACATATCATCGAGCATTGATAAATAAATATTAATTTGTTTAGTTAAGAGCTGGGTGGCTGTTAAGTTGAGAAATTAAGAAAAAAATATTATTATCCTAATAATGGCTGGAGACGGCTTGAATGGGTAATGAAGAAAAACTTTAATATAAGTTTAACATAACAGCAAATGTACAACGTTTCGACAAGGTTTTGTCATCATCAGGTACAAGTAATTTACACTGACTGTCTCAAAGTGGGTTCCTCGTCATCGAATATGGATGGTTTATTTGTTTTGTTTATTTCGCGCAAAGCTATCTACGCTAGCCGTCCCTAATTTAGCAGTGTAAGACTAGAAAGAAGGCAGCACCACCAACTCTTAGGCTACTCTTTTACCAACGAATAGTGGGATTTTACCGTCACATTATAATGCCCCCACGGCTAAAAGAGCGAGCATGTTTGGTGTGACAAGGATTCGAACCCGCGACCGCTAATTGAGAGTCGAGCGCCCTAATCACCTCGCTATGTCAGACCTTTTAAATTATGGACAACTAGTGCAGAGAGCTCTCTAGTAGCTTGTGTGAAATTCAACAAACAAATAAGTATATATTGTTACTAGCAATATTTAGCCAAACTAAGACTTTTCAGCTAAAATTCCTTCAGCAAGTTTAATATTCGTTCTGTCCGTCCACATGGTATATATATTAACACAGGCTCAGACCAACAACAGCTCAATACAATATTTCACAGTAAAATATTTTTCCAAAAGCTGAACTATCACAATATCGCATCCCCCTGCTAGTGAGTCAATCAATTCACTACAGTCAGCATCACAGAAAAATATGGGCAAAACCTAGTGGGAGTTATATAATTATATGTAGAAATGTTAAATCATCTAGATTTAGCAAGAGGTGTTGCACTGCCTGTTCCCGAATCCATTAATTACACACAGCAACTTACGTGAAACATTTAATAAAGCAATCTAGACATTTTTTGACTGGGCCTTTAAACACTGATGAACGTTTCTTAACCTCACTCACAGGGACCTATTATAGCTTCTATGAAGTGTATCTAAATGCCACAGTTTAAATTTTGATTTTAAGTAAATGATATTCAGCAGTCTCCGTTTGTTTGTTTATACAATGGTCAAAACCTGGATTTTAGCAATGTGAGTCTGCAGACTTACTGCTGAGCCACTGGGGGGCACAGTCTCAGTACTTTGACATGTATGGCATTGTTCCCTTAAACTGGTATTTTGGCACCCCTACAGTCTTTGCACATTTATCAATTGCTTTATACATTTGTCAATGATCAATATATTACTTGCATATGTTGCACTAAAATTATTTTGGAGCCTTACCACATCATTACAGTCTATGTCACCATGTACAGTCATGCTCTATCTACAACAGTGTATGTAAAAGGCTCATCACACCACTCCTCCTTGCACAATTTCTATAGTCATTGTGGTATACGAGAAAGTAGATTCCCAGTGCCTGTTTCAATATTCTAACAGAAATCCATAGATGTTGTTCCTGGCAACTCGATTCAGCAGAATAAAATTAATACCCCTTTCAATCTCCAGATACTTAAGGTTTGCAATGGTTTAAAGGATATGCTATGGAAGCAGCTTGCATACATAACTTGTGTCACTTTTCCATATGGAGATCCTTCTTTATTATGCTGAGTACTGTTGCCTAAGGTATGCGTACAGCTTTTGACATGACCATTGTGTTAATGGATTCTCACCTGTTAAAAGACATAACAATTTATTTACTATGGCTGAGGTATGACTTTCTGCTCAACTGTTTCTAGATGGTCTTGGTACCCCATATTCATCCATGTAAAGATTGTTTTCTAATGTCATTAATTCCCATCTTTAAGATTTTAAATCCCTGATCTAAACACATCTTTATGACCTCAGTGTATGAATATTTTACATCACAAAGGGCTTACACACCCTTCTTAAAAGCTATCAATATTTGGTAGCATCACACTACCCACAAAGTGCTAAACAGTGTCAAAATTTAGTTCTGATACATTCTGTTTCACCACGCCTTTACATCAGCTGTGGTTATAACACAGAATTTAGATTTCATTTTCAATGTCATTTTAATATAACATACTCAACCCTCTGTACTTACTTTTCCATTATGGTATTCACAGTTACAAAGATAACTTTATGTTTTTCATTATTTAAATTGAAAACATAAATTTTCCTACCTGCAATGGTTAATAAGTAGTTGGTATTTATCACACACACACACACTGTCTTTTTTACTTTGTTAAAATATTGGGAACACTTTATATGCACGTACAAAAAATAAATCGAATGTCAGAATAACATACAAGAAAAGAACAAATTTATTATCAGCAAAAAGCGAGTGAAGATAGGAATATCTGCAAAACTGGATATGTCAGTGCTGAGATCTCCTTATCTTTACAGAGTGGTAGGTAGTTTTCAGATGGTGCAACACCTAATAAAAAGTATGCCCTAAATTTTAAAAACTGAATTATGTTCAACATAAGAAAATGATGAAATAAATTAAACTTAGCACATATCTTAACTTCTAGAGTTCAATCAAAACAGTGAGAATTTCCAAAATATTTCTGAAGTATTAAAGGTAAAAGATATCTTCAGAAATATTTTGGAAATTCTCACTGTAAAGTTTGTCAATGCTGGAAAATGTTTAAATATATATATTAACAACTGAGATGACTGAACTGTTTTTATACCATGAGAGTTACACATATTACATCATATTGAGTACTTTTGTTTTTTTCCTGTTAAAATATTCAGTATAAAGACCTGACTAAATGTTGTGGGTAAAATCACTCACATTCTATGCAAAACACATTGCTGTAATATTGATGGTATTTCAGCTTACATTTTTTGTGTGACTCGTATGTTTATCAGGTACCCTAATCAACAGTCATGAACCCACAATCAATCCGGTTCATATATATATATATTAACTGATGGGATATGAACCTTATCAGTAATTCTTGTTTTAAACCTTTCCAGACAAAGTCAAGTTTTCTTAAAATCCAGTTCAACTTGGCCAGCTCTGCTCATAAAAAACATTAATATTTTACCATTACTTCAACTCCTCTTCAGAATAAGTATATTATATTTAACTATGACAAACCTGTCATTTATAATTAATTTAATGCTTGCTATTAAAAGCTTAAAATAATGTGGTATTCTTGGAAAAACTTATCCTTTTATTAAAATTTGATTGTTGAAAATTCAACATTTTAGATATACTTTGGTTTGATAGTGTATCTCTAGAATCACAATGTAGCAAAGGAATTTACAACATATCTTTTCTCAGTTTATCAACCAGAATGTTAGCATTAAGAAACTGCACTCATTCCTTGAAAGCTAGCTTATCACAGTGCATCTTGAGCATCTAAAGCAGTGGTGGTCTACCTATGAACCACATGTGGCCCTTATGGGTCAATCTGAAGATCCCCCTGTATCCTAAAACATGTTTCATAAAGAATTCATTTTTCAAGTTAAAGTTTTTGGCTTATGACTGGTTAAGATCGGGGGGGGGGGCTACTGGCTCTTAAGGTGTTATCAAATACACGTTTGTAAATTCTCGCATGAAAAATACTTTAAAATATTTGATTATGTGAATATTTGATTAAACAAAAAAACCATTTCTAAAAGTGACATTTCATAACACTATATTTACATGTAAAGCTGCCACTTATTTTTTCTGATGTACTTAGCACTCAACATATTGAATTTATTGATGTATTTAGAGCAGTTATACCCATACTCTTCTGCACTAAGCATGTAGTATTACTATTCATTGTTCAATCCAATTTACCTTATTTTTGTGAAGAACTTTTAGTTTGACCACAAACTTAACTCTTAAGTAATCATAAATGCATAGGCTAATTGAAATCATTACTATCACACATTTATGTACATCCCAATTGCTGCTTCAAATGATTTTCTTAAAATATGTTTCATTTAAGTGTGATGGTCCTATTTCAGTTACTAATTTATGTATTAAATTTTGCAGTAATTGACTATTTAAAAGAAGTCCAGAAGTGAGTCCGTTTGTAATGAAACAAAATCTACTAATTGTTATATAGCAGTCTAAATGCTACTGTAGTCATTTTCTGAAAGAATTAGTGGACTTTTTAGATATTTCTCCAAAAACAGTATCAAATTATAAAATGTTTTAAAGCTAGTACATCAGTAAAGGCACTTGCTACTTATGTCTTAGACAATTTACAATTATATAAACTTCAATAACAAAATGTTATTAAGACAGATATGCCAAGAATAACAGAATTGTTTGTGACAACATAAACCACACTCTTCAACTGTCTCAAAATATTTCTATATACCTAAGTTATCATCTGATAATTTGATAAACCACAAACACTGTCACTTTTTTTCAAGACATAATTGATTTTCCTTACATCTGAGGACAATATACACTGAAGCTTGAAAGTAGTTCTTAAAACTTTATCACAATCATCTGGTTTAGATGACGATAAACAAAGAGATGCAGCTTTCCATGAATCAGTCTATATAAGAAAATGTTTCCTTTTCATTTCCTTGATGTACCTATTCAGCATTTCCTAGCTGATCGTGATTTTATGAAAATCTTTAAACAGTGCAATACCACTGTAAAGGTAGTACTTTTGCTGTTAACAAACATTAATGTATGTTCCAAGGCCTAATATATATTGATTCACACTTGTAAGAGTTCACTGTCACTCCATATGCATCAATAACATAACTACTGCATGTTTTCTAACACCCTCTAAAATCAACTGATATTTCTTTTAACAGGAAAATAAACTTGTCATCAAGACACAGAGCCAGAAATAGGTCTTCGAAACAGCAACACATGAGGTTCTGAAATTGAAATAAAATATTTAAAGCAACATTTCTTGGTATACAATACGTTTTAGTAATTTTAACAGTTACAGTCTTCTTTCTTTTCTAAGTTCTAAATTATTCAATAAAATCAAACACAGAAGAAAACTAATACTTAACTTCTGCCTCAATATATATTATGGTCCTTAATGTAAGACTGATCTATAGTATATATCTCTAAGTTCTTAAGAAATGAACTTCAACTATAACTTCTGTCTCAATATATATTATGGTCCTTAATGTAAGACTG